GACAGAAAATACAAAATAACGATATATAAGCAGAGAACTAAAGAAATCTAGCATAAGATATGAAGATACTGAAAGCCAGAGAGAGACAGATGAGGCATTTGGTTATCAGCTGAGAGCAGGTTGTATCTCTGTCTCTATCTGACCCGTGGCCAGAAAAAGCACTGACTTTCCAAAGTGCATGTTCTTCCTTTTTCATTTGTTACTCTAAGTGTTTTTTCTTTTTTCTTTTTTTCCAGATAGCTTGACCCATACTTCCAGAGAACTGATATAGTGGGTAAGAAGTTTATTTCAAATCCTACTTGCAGAATGGGGAGTGGTTTTACTGGGGGAGATGGAGCCAGAAGTTAGAAAAGAAGGTATTCACTTCCTTGCAGGCTCAGCTTCAAGTGAGGAAGCTTGAGTCAGTTGGGGGGGTGGGGGGTGGGAGGGGGAGAAGGTTGCAAAATCTTCTGTTTCTAAGTATGCTTATAACATACTAACATACTCTTTTCTTGGCAGGCTCTTTTGAGCCCACTGGGAGCTGATTATTGATTTTTTTTTTTTATACGCCTTTTTCTAGTGCTCCTAATTTAGCTTAAACATCTTTGTCCTCGTGGTGCTGGTGTTGCATTTTCAGTGTTTCAGAGACTGTAAAGATGCTGACATGTGTGTGTATATATGATTATGTATTAGTCTTTTAATGGCATCCTGAAAAATTGTTTATTTTCAGTTGTGATGGAAGTGTGTCCCAGGCCTGTAAATCGCATTATGTTGCTGTGGGCATGCAAGGACTTATGCAAAATTTCCAAATGTTCACATGGTTTCAGCTTCTGTAAGCAGCCACAGTTGATAAAGCAGAACTCATCCAGATTTCTCTGCTAAAAGAAAAAGGAAGAGGTGCTAGTGAGTCAGCTGCCTTGGTTAGCAAACATAAACATAATTAGCTTTTTAAGCCCAGCAACTTAAAAGAACCAGTAAATTAATCTCTTTTGTTTTTCTTAGCAGTGTTTCCTCATCTGTCTATAGGGTATATATTTTTTAAATGTCACAAAGCATTTGAAGAGAGCAATTCTCATATATATCATCCCTTTTATAAATCAAGCATAGACAATCATCGTGACACAGTATAATGATGACAAGTAAAATGGCTATTTGGAGGACAGAGAGACTTTCACTTAAAGATATGCTATTTTGGGTTAAATTATCAAAATGTTATTTTTAGAGCCTTTCTGGCTAGAATGTCTGAGCATTCATAATTTTGCTAGGTGAATATGTTTTAACTCTTTCAAACTACAAAAGTAATATATGCTTATTATTACAAGTTAAAATACGTAAGGAGGAACAAAAAATGATTAATATTCTCCTTGTTCTCTTTTACATGCCCAACAAAGATTTTTGTTCTTTTTACAAAGGTGAAATCACATTATATTTGTTACTTTTTCCCCTCACCCCCACACTGTAAATATTACTTTTAAAACTTGCTGTAATTCACAATGTGTCATGGATACATCTCCATAGGTGGATCTAACTAGAATTGACACATTTTTTACAATTGCTGTATAATATTCTATAATATACATAGCTATTCAACCATTTTTTATAGGCTTGCAGATAATTTCCAATGCTGAGATAAACCTCCTTGCCAGGGAATTAAAAGAGCCCAATTAAGAATCACCCTGTAAATATTATATATCATAAAAGAAGGAAAGAAAGGAAGAAAGGAAGAAAGAAAGGGAGTTTCACCCTGTAAATATTATATATCATAAAAGAAGGAAAGAAAGGAAGAAAGGAAGAAAGAAAGGGAAGGGAAGGGAAGGGAAGGGAAGGGAAGGGAAGGGAGAGAGAGAGAGACAGAGACAGAGACAGAGACAGAGACAGAGACAGAGAGACAGAGAGAGAGAAAGAATGAATGAATCACCCTGTGGGTTCAGATGCTCCTGCTAGCCATCTCTAAGTCGCCAATACATTCCATAATGAATGTGGAAAGCTCCCTCTCCCCATGGCCCTGTGAGGCTGAGCTGGGTAAATTGTCTGTCTTCCGGTGGAGCATAACATCCCGGTCACTCAGTGTCAGTGCAGGCTCTGTAAGGAAGAGGGTGCCAAGTTGAGAAATGACTAAGTAAATAAAACTCCAGAGTAAAGCAGCCTGTTTCTTGGCCTCCCTACATATCCAGTTCTGTTTTTCATCTTGAAGTGGTAGCTAATGAGTATAACTTTGACAAACTTTTAGTTTTGTGAAAAGCTTGTTTTCTAACATCAATAGAAAATAACTAATTTAGAATATGCCTGAAATCATAATATAAAGGCAAAAGCAAAAACTTCCATAAATGCAGCGGGCAGCAAAGAAACCTTGAAATAAACTTGAATCCTACAATTTCTTCTTCTAAATTGATGGCCTACTCAACAGGCCACTTTTCGGAAGTTTTCTTTTAACACACAAATACTTACCCCATACTCCTTTGACATATTCATCTTACTAAAAAAGAAAAAGTTTATTCATTTTATTTAACATAAAATATATAGCACTTAATTATTTACCTTAATATTTTTATACTTATCATTATCTTCAATTTTAAGATTTTGGACTATCAGGCCAGTAATAATCAAGGTATTCGTGGAGCTGTTCCTCCATGCTTAGCATAGTTAACTTATTTGTAGTTACATAGGAAGATGCTTCATAGAAATAAACACCTCATCATGGCCATGGCTTCTGATGCAATATTAATTGTCTGAGAACAGAGTGGAGGCCTGAAATGGGGTCCATTTTCAAACCGATGTAGGCACTTCTTACAAGCTAAAAATCTCACAAGTAGAGAAGACATCTTTTATCGAAATTCATGTATCGTGGCGGTGCTCACAGATAATCAAACATTCATTATACATATATTTAGATATAGATAGGTAGGTAAGTAGATAGATAGATAGATAGATAGATAGATAGATCGATCGATAGACAGATAATTTCTCCCTATTTAAAAAGTAATGAAGGGCAGAATCTAAAGTAGCTATCATATGGTTGTATATACATATCACAGAGATTTAGAAAGTTAATTTTGTGGTAATTTATGTCATCTTGCTTTCAGAGTGAACTGAAACTGGATTTGCAAACTTGCTTGTTAAATTAGCAGCTGAACAACTTTAAATACATCACTTAACCTTTCTAAGCCCGAACTTCCATACCCACATAGTGAGTGTTATTTCTCACTACCTCATAGGATTAGTGGGAAGTTTAAATGAGATAATAAATATGAGAATGTTAATGCCATACTTAACAAATGCTGGTTTTCCCCTTAGAAAACTCAAGAGGTCTTACAGTAGAAAGATATTTCTTGTTTGAATTAAAAGGGATATGTAAGAGAGTGGTAGAGAAAATAAAACTTAATGAGACATGTACAAAACTGCCAATAACCAACCATATGGTTTCATAGTTACAAAGAGTTTGTATATCCTTTATCTCATTGATTCTTATATAAGAGAGTAACCATGACTCAGAGAAATTAAATGGATTAACCAATTATCATCTTGCAAGCCTATGAGTTTTGTTGTTGTTGTTGTTGTTGTTGTTGTTGTTGTTGTTTTGACTAATAACCCAGTGCTCTTTAATTACTCTATGCTGTCTGCCAAAGCTAGATATTTGGCAAATACTAAGAAGTTATAAGTCTAATGGATTCCAAAATTGTGTCTAAAAATATAGCATGTTTCTCAAATTTTCCATGATTCCTAGAAAGTTGAAAATATCTGGAGAAGTAGCCTAGACTACTCCTGGCCTCCTGTGGCCCACACTAAGTTTAACGTGCATGTCTTGGGTTATATGGGCCAAAGAGTTGCATTTCTAATATCAAATGCACCATGCTTTGTGACTATTTCTCTTCATTTTTAGCATATCGTGAATTGTAGGTAACTTATTGGAAAAGGATCCCTTTCAACTACAGTGAGAAGTTTGGTTTGCTTTGTACAGGCCAAGTTTCATATATTTCTGCCCCGAAGGGCCACCAGTAATGATCATTTCCTTACCTTGGTTGACACTCAGCACATTCTATATCATGATATTATCTATCTTTGCATGTATTCCTTTTTCTCCCCTTCGAGAGTGCAAGACCCCTAAATATGGAGAGTATATCATTCCTCTGAACTCTCAATGCCCAGCTGAGAGCCTACCACTTAATAGATTCTCAGTAATACTTGCTCCTGCTCCTGCTGCTTTTGAGATACTTTTCAGTGTTGACTTCTTAGGAAAGATTCATTAAAAGACATCATATGAAAGAGGGTTAGCCTTAGGATAAGCAATATCTGCTACCTTCCTCCCTGTATAGTGAATGAGTTCTTGAGAATTCTTTCATAGAGACAGATAATTGCTAGAAAGATAAAGCTTTCTTAGGAAAGCACTAGTAATTACCATGTCCACTGGAAGGTAACAAAAGGTAAAACAGGTCCTGCTCTCCCCAACATGAACATGCAATATTGAAAATTAGGTCTGAGATGAGAACAGATAGAAATACACAGCTGTCACTGGGGGAAAAAAAGCCTTTAAGATCAAGTTGAATTTCTTATTTCTAAGGAGTAGCGACAGCATGTGTTTTGTTTGGTCTCCACAAATTACAGCGATTTGGTTTCAGCCTGAACAAGTACCACAAGCAAATACTGGCAGGCAGAGCCTCTAAGGCAGTGGCCAAACAAGTCAGTTTTCATTTTCTTCCAAACTCTCATTTGTCTGATCCATTCATAGAAAAACAGAACAAAAGGCAAGAGATTACTGCACCCTAAAGCATCCAAGTGGCTCTTTTGGCTCAGGGGTTATTTATAGCAATCTGGCTCACACTGAGAACTTCCTGTTCTATTCAGCTAATATGAGAATGTGCAAATGAAAGCTCCAAGACTATAACGGTAGACATGGATACAGGGTGGGATCAATGATTAGGTTCTCGAGCCTGTTTTATTTTTGATCAAGCCATGCCTTTCAGACACCATCGTGAGCATTTACCTCAGAATAGGTTTATCCTCTTCTTCGTGTGCACATTCTGTTTGCAGATGTTGCTATGAGGACAGATTCATCAGAAATGACTGATGTGGAGCCTATGGGCAACGATTTTGCATCTTCGGCAAGGGCCGGCCGCCGGAATGCCATTGTAGACATCCAGGATTCAGCTGTGACAGGCGAAACTTCAGAGTTGCCCCTCAAACTGGAGACCCTCTCCGTAAAGGAAGGTAACCGTACAATTCTCTTAAAATCAGCAGCAGCACTTCTCTCTTCTTAATCAATCCTTTCTTCTGGAACAATCTTCCTTTTAATTAGTTAAAAGTGCTCCTTTTTTTTTCTCTCACCATTTACTAAAACCTCTCAGCTTTTATTTAAGGCTAAGTAGATTTTTCAGGCTTTCTGAAAGTGGACAATTGTACCTTTTTATCTCATGGCGTGTACATGGAAAGTGAACATTTATAAATTCATTGGATGCACAGTGCTAGTGATTGGGAATAAAAGGTGAATAAATATGGTCTCTTTCCTCAATGAGCTTAGAAAATGTATTGAGAAGTATTCAGAAATGAAATAATTTTCCTTCTGTCATCTATTGACAAATCACTTTGGGAACTTCTGCTTCACTGCTGTATTCTATAACTCTATTCCTCTAAGAATAAGTTTATTATCAACTAGAGATAAAATCTTTAAGGAATTTGTATAAAAGGTGATCATTCTTCAACCAGTAGAAAAGTTGAATTAAGAAAAAAGAACAACTGTCAAACTAATAAAGGAAAATTTTGGTTCTCTCTACCCATTCCTTACATATAGTTCTTCCAGAATTTAGTTGTCTGAGAATAAATACAATGATATTTTTAATAAAGTTTTTAAAAGTCCCTTCATTTAAAACCATTCATAGATGTTAAAGATAATTTTAGTTCCAAGTGATTGCTAAAATACCTGTGCCTTGTGCCTCATTTTAGATGTCAAGGTGGACTCCAGTGTGTGTGTAGAAATTTATTCCTGGTGTCAGTGAGGCAAGAGAGAGCTAGAAGCTTCTGCACATCTTCCATATTCATGAGAGCCCCAGAAGAGAGCTATTAGTTCTTTGCCTCAGGAGGTTATGTATTACCTGGTAAAGTTACAAACATTCCTGGTTTGATCCCTGTGAAATACATGTAACCTCGTTAGGCCAGAGGCTGTGGTCAGATCCCAGAGTTCCACGGTTACGCCACCTTTTTCCAAAGGTCATTGAATTTCTCATACGAGACACTGCAAGTAAAAGTAAAAAAAAGCATACACATAAACTATTATATGGTGAAATAAAGATGGAAGAAATAAAAAGAAAAGAGAAATAAAAACACACGTAATGTTTTTGACCTTTTAAGTTTGAAAATGTCATATATTAGCCTCCCATTATCTGCAGGATATACATTCCAAGACCCACAGTGAATGCCTGAAACTGCAGATAGTACCAAACCCTATATATACCATTTTTTCCTAGCATACATACCTGTGACAGAGTTTAATTTATAAATTAGGCACAGTAGGATATCAACAACAACAATAATAAAATAGGACGGTTACAACAATATACTGTAATAAAAGTTATGTGAATGCATTTGGGGCTATTTTAAGTAAAATAAAGGTTGATTGAACACAAGCCCTGTGATATAGCAACAGTCGATCTGATAACCAAGAAAGCTACTATGTAACTAACGGGCAGGGAGTGTGTATAGCATGGAGATGCTAGACTAAGGTGTGATTCATGTCCCAGGTAGAAGGAGTAGGATAGCATGAGATTTCATCACACTACTCAGGACAACGTGCAATTTAAAACTTATGGAATTTTTCTATTTAATATTTTTATACCGTGGTTAACTACATGCAAGTAAAACCACAGAAGGTGAAACTGCAGGTAACGAGGGGGCTAGCATATGATTATCAGAACATAATGTAGCTGTGGAAGAATCTTCCTCAACTAGTGAGGAAGAGAAGTTACTTGTTAATATAAAAGGCCGAATTAAAGTTTATATACCTAAATACACACACAAAACCTTAATACTTGTTGACATTACTTAGTTAAGGAAAAGAACAAATACACTGTAGGAGAGTTAGTAGTCTTCACCATTTTATTTTGGTCACTAGAGAAACTATTATTTGATTGTTACTCTTTTATATGTTCCTTTAAATCATTTGGAAACAAATGATATTAAAGGATAAACAAAAGGAAATATGTTTTTAAAGGTAGATGGCATAGACAATGTTTTATTAATAAAGCTATAAGTAGATTTAGGGCTTGTTTTATTCATTAGCTAAGTACAAATATTATTAAGAATTTAAAAATGGATAGATTCCAGTGCTTATAAAAACAAAAAGCTGGGGGCTGTCTTGTCTTTATGTAGCTCCCATGTCTGGACCGATGGCAAAGGTATGTTCTAATCAAGTAGAAAATGACTAACGTGCATGAAGGAAAAACCAACTGTTTTATTCCGATATAATAGAAAATATATTTCAGTATACTCTATCTATAAATGAAAATTGTTTATTTTTTTAAGATGTAAAAAAAGAAGATGAAGAAACAACACAAGACCAATTGGAAAGTCCCCAAGTGAAGAAAAATGAAGGCTCATAAACTATCAAAAGTACTGGATTTCTGCAAGTTGAAAGACAGTGGCTCTCTTTTCCTGAGATGTTTGATCTGGTGGTAACCATGGTACCACTGCAGCCCTAAGCAATATGTGCGTGTTAGATAGTTTTGCTGTGATGTTACTCGCTTGGATTGCAACCGTGATGTCCAGTGTAGATCATTAAAAGGCAGATTACTTCCAAACTGCATCCAAAGAAAAGGTTAAGAATGTATGGTCACTTGAATACATATCACTGTCTATGAACCCGGCAAAACCCACTGTTCTCTTTTGGATTTATTTAGCCAGGTGTGTTTTTAATTCTATTTTTATGGTAAGGAGTAAAACATTTCTTGGTAAATATAAACCAAACATCATTAACTTAAAACTTTATGGAATTTGTAGGAAATTATGTTTCTTGGTGAGAAAGAATAATGAAATAGTCAAAAACATGGATAAAGTGTTCGGTTTTAACCAAAAATTTCTCCTCGAACCCTAAAAAGATTTGGAAAAAATTGATTTGTGAAAGCATGACAACCTAAACATCTCTAGGATATTTTTGTCTGATATACATTGCTTCTAGTCCATGCATATTGTGATTTTTCATGTGGATTCTTAAAATGCAAAACCCGTGGCAAATTATTTATATATAACATGCCTATTAAATGAATTTTACTATTTTCCTTAACTTTCATGTTGTATATGTGTGGGTATGTTTTTCTTTAATGTGAATTATCTAAAACACCTTACTAGTTGCTTTACATTTTCTTTTTTTTTATTTTTTTTTTTTTTTTTTTTTTTTTTTTTTGGTAGGGCTTTTGTGTATATATGACTTGTTTCTAAGATAATTTCCTCAGGAATGCAGATTTTAATTTTTATATATTTCCTAAAGTAGTTAACATAAGAGTAGGCACTTAAATATTTCGTGAATGATATGTAGGTTGACATAGCAAATTACTTGCATTTAATATATATTTAAATATATATTTTAAAAAGAACAAAACCAAAACCAAAGCCTTAGTAAATTTTGATTTATTAGATATTTCAGGAAAATAATAGAATTCTGAATTTTAAAAATGACTAATGAATTTATTTTCATTTTCAGATATATACGCATGCAGTTTTATTTGATTTGATTGTAACTGAGGCCATGTCTGTACACAGTAATCAAATAAACTCTTTCACTGTTAAATCTGTTACTGATAAGTCTCCTTCATTTTATCTTCTAAAGTATACCAGGTGAAAAAAATGGCAACACATTTTAAAGAGAGAACTTAACAGTCTTTGCAATATAAAACATTTCCTGCTTATTTTTTCTAAGACGAAGGTTACCCTCATATACAATACACACCAAAGGAGTAGATTTCAAAGCACCTGATTGTTTTAAAGTTCTCAAATATAACATTTTCTTTATAAAATAATCAAAAGCAATATTTTAGGTATAGACTAATTCAATATTTAATAAAAGATGTGTTCACCTTTAAAATGATATTTCTGAGTTAATGACATGATATTACATAATCAGTATAAAGAAAGATTATAGTAGAACAGTGGTTTTTAATCTGGGAGGAGTAGCAATTTGCCTCCTGAAGGACATTTGGCAATGTCTGGAGACATTTTTGGCTGCCACAAGCAGGGGAGAGTAGGCGCTACTGACATCTAGTGGGCAGAGGCCAGGGATGCTGCTAAACTGCTAAGCATCCTGCAGTCCTACAGAGCAGACCCTCACAACAAAGAATTATCTGGCCATGTGTTTCAGTAGTGCTGGGATTGAGAAACCCAGGAATAGAGTTAAACTATTAACCACATTGACTTTTCATTCAGATAACTGGGGTCTGAAGTGTAGCTCTGCTACTCATGACTGTGTGATCTTGGGCAATTTACATCATGTCTCTAAAGTCTTAGTTTTATCCTCTTGAAATGGTATTAATAGTAGTACATACTTTATAGGGCTAGGAAAGGCAGTAAAAGAGATAATACAGCAGGTCTTCCAATAAGGTTATTGTATTCAATATTGTTTCATTATAATGTTAGAGAGAATAATATCAATTCCTGACTGGGGTCACTGTCTGTGTGGAATAGGCCATGTTCCTCTTCTCATGTCTGTTTGAGTTTTCTCCAGGTACTCTGGCTTCCTCATCCCAAAGATGTACAGATTAGATGAATTGGCATGCCTAATTGTCCCAGTCTAAGTGTGTGTGTGTGTGCGTGTGTGTGTGTGTGTGTGTCTGTGTTTTGTGGGGTAGTTGGGGGAGAGGCTAGGGGGGAATCTCACAATGTAATGGCATCCTGTTCAGGGTGGGTTCCCATCTTGTGCCTTAAGCTGCCAGGATAGGTCCTGGCCACCCACAACCCTGAACTGAAATAAGCAAGTTGGAAAAGAATTCTCTTACTTGTTTTTATTAATCTTTCTTAAGTTTATGTATAGCTCACATTTATTTCAATGTTTAATATTAGAAGTGTTTTGAGTCTTGATTTAGAAGTTTGGTGATGTTTTTATGAACAGAAATAGGCCTTAGGAACTTAACTCTTGTTCATATAAATTAGCCTAGGAATTTTGGTTTTATTATACATCGTTTCATTTAAAGTTGCAATTTCCAAGAACCTATTGACGATGTTGAGGACCTACTATACACGTAAAACATTGTCTAATGCCTGGCAAAGAACAATTATTTAATAAATATTATCTATCGTCACTATCATTTATATTCCAGATGCTTTTGCCATTTTTGTCTGGTAGTGAAGGTGGTACATAGCTGGTTTTGCTAATTTGGCTATCTTCCTTCCTCTGCAATTTCACAAATATCCCCAATTTTTGGTGCTGGGAGAAGACAGTTTGATGGAAATTGACAATTCATGGTAATTACCACATTAGTGTCAATTTAATCATGCTAATGAGCTGCTGACAGGGATAAGTATTACTGTTTAACAATGAGTCACCTCCCTAGCGTCTCATGACAGTTACTGCAATAAAACAGAATTTTGACTCCGTATCTAAATGAGTAACTTGTTTCATGAAAATGTAGAAGAAAAAAAGCAATGTAGCTCTTGGGTTATAGTATTATATGGTATTTATCTTTCATTTAGAAGACCAGAAATGAAACCATGTCCCTCTTCATTATTGCTAGTGATGACATATTGTGAATGATATATATACTAAATCAATTATTCATCACAAAGCTCACATAACTGTCCCATTATATACATATTTATAAGTATTTTGTAGTATACAAGGTATCAAGCTTATTGAATATTTGCCAACAGAAGGAATTCAGACAAAAGAGTTTGAGAGGTCAATAATAGTTTAAAGTCAAAATTGAATTATCGACAAATTTTAAAAAATCAAGTTATTTGGGGGAACATATGGTACAGTATTTTGTCATAGCAAATAGACACTTTCAACGAGGCTACCTAGTTGAGGCTCATTAAAGAAAGTCTCCATGCCCATTTTTGCCATTTTCTTTTTACAAGCCTCTTGCTTTAGTCAATAGCTTCAAAGCCTTAATACTGTGAGATAAACCAGGACAAAAGGGGGATGATAAAGCAGCTATCTGGAAACTTGACTCTATACAAAGGAGGAGAAAGAAGAAAAAAAATAAACTGTTCTGTGTCGTGTGCCAAGGGATATTTTTGTGATCTGAGCTGGAAAGTTTTGAACCTCCTTAGAATGTGAGTGATCACAGGGGGAGGCAAAAGGAAATGGTGTGTTGCTTCAGTTTTACTAGCTCAGGTGGCTTGGGCAGATGATGGTGGAGAGACAGAGAGAGAGAGAGAACAAGAGGAAGAATTACCACTGCACATTAACCTGATGCCTGCCTTATCTGTGGAAACCGACACCTCAAGTTCAATTACAGCTTTACCATTTTCTCTCATTATTTTGATTATTTTACTACTCTGTGCTTCAACTTCTTCTATGTGCAAAATGGTAAATTATGGAAATTAAATTAGTTAATAATGAGGCAAAAGAGATCAAAGCCATGCTGAAAAGAAGAGAGGCACCACACCCAATTTGGCTCATTTCATGTTGGTCCTGGAGCTGGCCTTGACTGAAAAGGGCACACTGACATTCTGTGGAAAAGTTTCCACAGAATGAATCTGGCATGAACTAGCTATAAATATCTTAAAAGTAAGGCAACATAGGCAAATGAAATGATATTCTTTGTTCCATGTAGATATATTTCAGAGTTTGAATAATGTTTGGCAGGACTGAGAGCAAAGAAGCACCAGAAGCACTAGATAGGCATTACTTACAGAGACCTCGGGGAACCATTCTTAAAGCAAGAAATTAGAAAAAAAGTCTTGCACCACCTTACAGTGTATGAAATTGACTTTAGAAGCTCTGCGAAGGCTCTCACGATGCTTTAGACATATTAAACATTCAAATATTCCTGTTTTTCAACAAATGAACAGGACAAACAAACAGACTCGTGGACATGGACAATGGACTAGTGGTTACCAGAAGGGATGGGGGAAAGGAGAGGAAAAAAAATGTTTAAAAAATTAATTATGTATGTATAGTATGAAAAAATAATAAATAAATGCATTTAAAAATAAAAATAAAATAGAAAAACAAATATTCTTGTTTTATAATAAAATTTTCACCTAAATTTCTTTTAGTGAAAGAAATTTGCGTTTTAAACACTTCGTTTATTTGGTATTAGGAGATTGAGGAGAAAAGAGATGATGGGGCTATAAGTCAATAAATGTGGATTTTGTTCCAGGATATTGACCTCAATTTAACCTAAATTGACTGTATACCTTTGGGTAAATTATTTTCCTCTTCAGTTTTAATTTGCAAGATTTACTCAAAATGAACACTAGGTGGTGCTGGCATCACACGTCTCACTAACAGCACATAAAATTAACCAGGTTTCCTAAGGTTTTCAATTTATTTTGTTTTACATTCAGGTAGGTATGTTGATCAGAATTATTTAAAAAAATAAAAAAACAAAATAAAGTAATAACAAACAAAAACTACAGTATTTCAAATACAATTTTCCTGCGAGAAAGTTTAGAAAGGAAATAGAAAGTGTGCTAATCTTTGATTATTGATTATTTAGGATACCCTATGCTCTTAAGTACCCAAAGAGGGCGCTCTAATGCATCTTTAAAATATACTTAGGAATACAAAGGCTAGAATTTTTACTTCATGCAACAAAGTGTCCTTTTTTTTGTACAACAAGGTTGACTGGATTTCTTTCTAAATTTAAGCTAGTCATGCACAAATATTTTATTCATTAAAATCAAGTTAAAAGCAGTTCTGAATCCCCTACACTCTTCGATTCACAATTAACCTTTGATGTTTTTTAAGTTAAAAGTACTATTTTCAATTGTGA